ATGTAATACAACAGAGCATTTCTTTAAGCTTAAGCGGCTTTGAAGAACATTGGAGCTAACAAGGGAATAAAGATGAGGCTGGGTCAGACCAGGGCTGTGTCCATCCCTGGTGCTGGTTCTCACAGTGGCTGTGCAGTGCACAGAGGACACTGCCACAGCCCCAGATGTGCACAACTATGCAACAGCTTGCCCAGAGGGAATACTCCTGCTTAACCCTAAACAGCTGGGTAATCCCCAAAGCAGTTTTTTTAATTCTGAGTTATATTTATTCCAGCTGTTTATGTAACACGCTTAGTAGTTGCAGCAGGATCGTTGAATCACTCTTGAAAATAAACAGTGTAAAGGAAAGTGTGACAATGGTGGCTCTTGCCATGTATGATGGTCAGTCTGTGACCAGAAACACATAGTGGGAAGTGGGTATTTTTCAGGATAATGCTGCTTCTGGAAAAAAATACGGGCTGGTGAGGATGGGGAAGAGGAGGTGGCAACTGCGTGGGCAAGCAGTTGTTGCCAGAGGGGGAATACCAGTCTGAGCAACCTTGGAAAACACCCTTCAGAAAGCAAGGGCTGACGCTGCTCTGCTACTGCATGAGGTATTTCAATCATCACGGGTTAGGGAACTGTATAGAGTCACTATGTTATAATTCAAAGGGAAAATTGTAAACTCCTGGAGGAGCTGGTAGTAAGTAGAGTCAGACTAAATTCTGTCTCCGAGGAGGAACAAGTGCAGTTGCCCCAGGCAGCCAGAGGTGCTGGGCATGGCAGGAAGGCTCCGGGTTTGGTTCTTGCCAGTATTCACATCTTCGGCCCACTTTCAAAGGAGGGTACAGGTCTACTGTCTGCAACAAGGCACCCAGCTGAACCTGTCCCTTACTTTGAAGTTATGGTTTCCAGAAGTGTGCTGAGCTCTCATGCTTCCACACACAAGGCTGAAATCCCGGGCACAGTGACATGGCAAGCAGCAGTTTCGTGGCAAATTTCTAGGTGAAGTAAGTGACCTGACTCGCTGTGCAAACGCAGCGCTGCTGGCTTTCGCTGGAGGCCGTTCCACTTGAATGCCAGACGTGTCCCTAATAACAACACACTGAGCAGCAGGACCTTGAAAAGATGAGAGCGTCTCTTTCCAGCTTGTGTCGGGGTGCAAACACTTATTTCCCTCCTTTACTTCAGGAGTGCTCACGTTATGTTGCGCTGTTCACTTGCAGAAGACCTTCATGATGCAGAGGAGGGGAACGACAAGCTGACCAAGTCCCCACCGCCTCCGCCTCCGCGGCGCAGTTACCTGCCAGGGTCTGCACTAACCACAGCCAGATCAGGAGAGGTCATCTATGCAGTCAGGAAAGATGCAGCTGCTGTCAAGGTTTGATGATTCAAACTCTAAGCAATCAGACTGCTGCTGAATTCCCAGACTTGGGCTTGTCTATAAACCGCAAAATAAGTTGAGACAGAGCTATGTCCTGGAGAGCTACTGAAACCACTTGCCAGGAAATGCTGCTCTTTGGGCATAAGCGCCAGTCAGGTTTGATCAGTCGTGTTTACAGGAGTCTTGCCTCACTGAGCTCCTAACAGTGCAGAAGGCAAGTCACAACTGCTTTCATCCAGTGTGGTAAGAAGGTTAAAAATAAAAAGAACACACCTCATATGGATGGGGAGGATCAGCTCCGAGTTGAGAGAGTTCACAGAAATAATGTCAATGATTTTCTTTGGGTTTCCCTTCCCAGTGTGTTCTGTTCCCTGCAAGAAGGGGAGAGAAGCCCAGGCTTTTATGAAGCTCTTTATTGTATTTATATGCAACCCCATCAGCAAGGGTCGTTTCTTTTGAACTCATGAAATAGCAGTCTCCTAGATCAGAGCATTACAAGGAGAGGGACCTCGCAACAGGGGACTTGTGGTGGTGTTGAATTTACTGTGTTTGCTTTGCATCAGGAGGGCTTGGCTATATTGGCTGTCTGGCCTTTGTCATCCACTTCTAGGAATGCAGTGAGGACACTGGGCAAACAGCGCAGTCCAAAGCCCCGAAGGAGGACCAGGCCTTGTCTCGGAGCACTGGGCCTGCTGTAGCATCCGCTGCAAAAGACGAAGATGAAGAAGAAGGAGATAAAATAATGGCGGAACTACAGGTACGCCCTTCGGGTTCACCTCTAGCTCACGATATGAAGGAAAGTAGCTCTGCCAGTCTCACCTGCTCCCCATTCATTACCCTGCATGGTGCCACATTATGTAAATAACATCCATTTTTTCATGAGATGAGAGAGTGCTCGAGGATGCTGGCATTGCCACAGGCAAATCCTTCCAGGCACACATGTGGGTGGGACTGCAGGGAATACCTATTTGCAGTGACCACTTCTGTGGCCTCGTGTTTCTTGTCACTCTCTTAGTGATGGGAGCAGAGACCAGGGAGGCTGGCTGTGGCAGGCTGTGCTCCCCTGCTCTGCACCACAGCCCAGTGTTCATGTTTCCTGGAGTGCTTCAACACTGCAGTGTTTGCCCTGTCTGTGGCACAGAAGTGGTGCCCCCTCACGTGCCCGGCCTCTGCTCAGCAGCACAGGTGCCGATGCTGCCCTAAAGGCCCCAGGTTCCAGTCACCAACGAACCAAAGACACCCAGATGGAGCTGTGTTACTCAGCACAACATGATGTAAAATAGATCTGTCAAGAGAAACAACACTCTGGCCAGATAACAGGCTAGACTGTGTCAAGGAGACGGCGCCTGTGTGCTTTTCTGAAAGGCATTTGATCAAATATACGACATCCTGGTTAAAATCTGCCACCACAGAGTATGCAAAAATACCCACGGGAGGACTGAGGGCTGTCTGGCTCTGAAGGTGCTGTCACTAATGTAGGTGTGGGCAGTCAGGGCCTGGGAGGGATCAGCCATGTCTGTGCTGCCCCATGTATTTATCAATGGCTTAGAAGTACATTTAAAATCCTTACTGCTTAAATCAGCTTAAATCTTAAAGCTAGTAAACGATGAGAGCAAAGAGAGGATAGCAATCGGTTAATGGTCATAATACACTTGAATTCACTGAAAGGCAAAGTCCTCGTGAAGACCAACAAATACAGGCCAGGCCACAAGGGCAGGTCTGTGACAGGGGCAGGAGCTGCAGCAACACCCACTGCTGCTCCAAGGGCAGAGTGCAGCTGCTGCAAAGGTAAAGTCTCCTTCGGGTGTTCGTGTGAGAACTGATTTTATTTCTGGTTTGGGGATCAGTGTGATCAGCCTGCGTCTGCTGCACCCACATCTGGGTGTCCATGCATGCCCTGTTTGCAGAGGCTGGCAAGACCATGAAGGTCCAGAAGTGCCCAGACTACCTTGCTAAGGTAGTCGTGGTGTTACACTGTGCAGCTAATCATAACTTCATGCAAGTTGCCCACTGCCTTTTTCATCTAGCAGAAAAAAAGGTGTAATGGAAATCACTGCTGAAGCTGAAGCAAGGCAAACCATATTTAGCGACCGCTACAGGTAGCTCAGAGCAAAGGCAATCAATTGCTGAGGAATTCTTGAGTGGTTTCTTCATCACTTAAAATCTGGCAGACTTTGAGGATGCCTTTGTGGGTGATGCCTTTATCTCAAAGATGTACTGTGGGTCCCACAAAGGGGTAAAAGTCTGGGGTATGTATTGTGCTGTAGGCTGTGTAGAGGGGCTGCTTGTTCTCACAGTCCCCTGAGGTCCCATCTGCTCTGGCCTATACACATATGTGCAGATAGGATGTGGTGGAAAACAAGCAGAAAATCCACAAATTGCATTTTTCAATGATTTTTGTTGTTGTTGTTATTATTCTCTAATTTTTGATAAACATGCAATAGATACAAGAAGTGCAATCTTTTACAAAGGCCCCGACTTTAATCTATAATTGAGGCTTTTAATTTCAGGAGAGTTGCCAGCAATGAAGTAATTTCCCCGATACTTAGCTCACCAAAACGATCTCCTCGTGCGAAGGTGCATGTGGCTGCTGGCAGCCCTGCCTGCCCGTCCCCTCCTGCTGGGACCGAGTGTGCCAGCTTGGCCAGCAGAATTCCCAGCGCTGCGACGTGCGCTCGGAGCAGCGCGCCGTCACGGCAGTGCCGGCGCTGCTCCCTGGGAACCCAACAGAGAGAAGCCCAAGGAAAACCAGGAGAAACCCAGGCAATCAAGCACGATAAAAGGCTGCACAGCCTTTCTGCAAAGCCCTGCTCCAAGGCTCAGTGGTGCCTATCCCATGTGCGGAGCTTTTTCTGCAGCAGGAGGAATACGGAGGTCACTGTCACCATCTAGAGCACAAGTGAGGGCCATAGTTAAGACCTGAGTCTCCAAGCCAAAAGTTTTAATAACAGTGTTTATAGGGAATACAGTTACGTAGTTCTTGTGTGACGTGTCATGAGACAGAATTTGGGAGCTGAGTGGACAGTAGGGTATTATACACCCCCTCTTCTCTCATTTATTGAATGCCTAAGACCTGCTGCACCCCCTTTCCCAGCGCCTTCCTGCAGGCAGTGCTTAGGCCATTTTGCAGACAAGAACAGCTAGGAAAAAAATATTTATTTTTTCAGCTGTGCCTGTCCCCATGCTATTCCCCAACAGCAAACCACTCAAAATACTCCCCAGGAAGGGAGCTGAGAAAGCATAAAGGAAGACAGAAAAATATTTGGGAGCAGTAAGTGGATAAAGAGCTTTGAGATTTGTTTATTTTAAAATATGAAATCTTAAGATGAGTCATTAAGTGATGTGCGATCAGGCCAATGTGTAATGGGAATTTTGAGGGAATCAGTCAACTACTGGTTCTGCCATGAGGCCAAAGTTTTCCAAAGCTGCCATGAGCTCCCTAGTTAAGTCTGGATAGTTTACAACACCTCTGCACACCTCAGTTTTGCCATCTGTAAGAATAGTAATCAAGCTCATCTCCCTGAAGGGGACATTGAGATCAGAGTCATGAACTGCAGTACAGCCATGGCAAATTGCAGGCACCCCTATTTCTCTTAGTTGATAGCTTCAAACCTCCGTTATTTTGTGAGGTTGCAAAAGATGCAGTTAAGATGTGAAAAATAAATGCTGTATTTGTAGTTGGTCATTTCCAGAGGTTTCTGTCTAAAAGCTACCTGACCTCCCGATAACTTGCAGTATTTATTTCCTAGGCTTTCCAGAAGTGCTCTTTTATGGATGTAAACTCAAACAGTCATGCTGAGCAGTCCAGAAATGATACACATGCTAAAGACATAAGGCCTGGGACTTTAATGCATCACAAGGAAAAGAAGGTAACAAGTGGTGCTTGCTAACATGCCACCTGGTCTGGCATAACCTTCTTTCCTTGTTTCAAAACTAATCTGATCCCTCCTGCCCTGTTCTTTCTATCCCCCCACCGCTGCAGCCCAGTGGTTTTCTTTCTTTTATCCCAGTAGGATCAGAAACGTGCGGATGGAGTGTTCTATCAGTGTGCATGATGTGCCGAACCAGCGTGATGCTCATACAAGGACTGCACAAAGTTTTAAGATTTCGTGAAGTCAAAGTTATAGAATGGTCCATTGGTTTACTTCTCAGAGAGGCTGTTGCCTCTCGAGCAAGCCTCTCAGTGCTCTTGTGGCAATGGAGGAATGGGGAAGCATCTCTGCTAAGCCTTGCTCTTTCCATGTGGCAAATTAGTGATTCCTCTCAGTCTGAAGGGCCACTTTGGAGAATTTTTGCTCCATCTAGATTTGTCTGTTTTTTTTTTTTTCATTTTTTTTCATTTTTTTTCCCAAAATAATTATTAGATTTTAAGAAATCACATCCAGTTTCCTGGAAGATAGAGTCAAAGTGGATGGTTCAAAACATCCCTCTTTCTGCAAGATGAGTCAAAGATTCAGCCTTCGGGCATGGGATTTATGCAAGGTGTCTTACGGCAGGAGCTGTGTTCAAGTTGGGGCAGAGTTTCGCAACCGTGTCTAGACTGGATGTGCCGTTTGCCTTGATTTGTGTCAGTGACAGTGAGTGCACAGCATGAAAAACAGGCCAATAGTTCTGCCTTTTGGAGACTGTCTGGAGAGGTCTCTTTAGAGAGAATCTGAGAAGAGTGAACTGAACCACTGCAGGTTTAAGGGGAGGTCATGCATGCATGACAGCTTGTCAGTCAGCCAAACACCCATCTGCAGTGAAGTGGGGCTGTGCTGGGGGAGAAAACACAGCGAATCAGCCCAGCATTTCAGCTCTGTGGGTCATTTTTTCTTGCCATGTTTGCAACCCGTAAATACAGCATAAGCAGTAGCTCCCCAGGCACTTTAGAGAAGTTGCCTTTTAGATTCGTTTAACAGAAACTGAGGCAGAGAAAAAGGGAATATGGCCTTCCCTAGGTAGTCAGGACAGAGACGAATCCTGTTGCTCTGACCACAGTGAGCTACATCTGCATAGGGCAATACAGTTGTTGTAGAATATACTGTGAGACCTAAATGGTGATGCCCATGGTGATATGTGGTTAGTGTGAAAGTCCTTCCACAAGGCTGCTTGGGTCAGGGCAGCACATTGCACACAAGGGCTTGGAGCTGCCCAGACAGCAGGTCTGGCCCAAAGCTGAGAGCACGCAACTGGGCGAGGATACAAGTTCATGCGGATTAGTAAATGAAATAAAAAAGGAAGAAATTGCTTTGTTTTTGAGTGGATGATTATGTTTTGGAGGGAAAAAAAATAGCCTGCCTGTGTCTGTATTCATCCTCACTGCTACTAGCATCAGATTGCAGAGCTCGTGTTGTCGCGCCAAAACCTGCCTCACTCCTTGAGACAGGTGCTGTAGCACAGATGTTTCTTTGATAGGTACTGCCTTGTAATTGTTGCAAACTGCTCTTTATTGGAATTGGAATAACACAGACTCCAGGAAACTGAGGTCGATGAGCTTTGTTTTGCCATCCGATATGACAGTGTGGGTTACTGACTTTAGATAATAGGCTTTATGGTGACAATAAGCTCATAGAGAATTAGGGTTTTTGTTTGTTTTTAATCCAAAGGCAGCATTGCTAAAATGAGGTATATTGTACAATGAAACCTGAAGATGTTGCACTGATGCTTGCAATAGGAAGTATAACTTGCTAAAAAAAAAAAAAGGTCTAGAGAAATTGGAAATAGTCTCAGGGTATGCAGGGCAACAAGTGCTTTCAAATGCACTGGCCAAACTATGGGAATGCTGCTACAAAGCAGAAAGTTGCCTAGCCAGTCTGGGCCAGGCATGAGCAGGAGCCCCAGCATTTCATTCCGTTGCCGGCTGCCAGCATGAAGTGCAGCTCCTGTAGGCCTGCACACTGGTGCATCTCTGGCTGTGCTTGGTTTGTGGGATGGTTTGTAATTATTTAGAAATCAGGCCTTCAAAATATACTTGGAGCAGCTGCATAGCCTTGGACGAGCTAATAAGGCTCATCCTCAGTAGTGAAGATCTGTAAACATGCCTACTATTTTCTTCCTCTTCTTCCCGCCGATGTGTTTAGAGTCAGCCCTGTCTCGAGCAATGGGACAGTGGCACCGTGGGCTCTTTGCCCTCAGTCAGTCATGCACTGCCTCAGTTCCCTCTGGCAAGAAGCAGAGGCCTCCCGTGTGCTGGCCGTAGGTGTTAGCATCTCGCTCCGGTCGTGCTCTCCTCCCCATGGCTGCGCAGAACAGGATGTGTTTATATCTCACTTAAAACAAGTGAAACAATAAACAAGCTCTTTCTTTTCAGTCTGCTATTATGAAATAGCATCTCCAGGTGCAAAAAAAGATCCCTTAAATTTACGCCTCTGGGAATCCCTAGCTTTTGAACTGGGGGATGAGCTCTCCGTGTGCTCTTCAGCCTTGCTTCTATAAGTGAGTGTATCTGTTTCATTCTGCACTTTCAAAAGTGCTGAGTGTCTCTGTTAATTTTGGAAGTAGGAGTAATTTTTAAGTTGCAATGAGGATTTAGAAATGCTCAGACTATGACTGTATTAACTGTGATAAATCATCACTGCTCAGGTGTAAGGAGCACTGGAAATGACAATGTTTTAAGCTGAAAAGCATTTTTTTCTGATACAAAATCATCGAATCATAGAATCACAGAATGCTTAGGGTTGGAAGGGACCTCTAGAGATCATCTAGTCCAACCCCCCTGCACACGCAGGGTCACCTAGAGCACGTGGCACAGGACTGCGTCTGCGCGGGTTTTTAAGATCTCCAGAGAAGGAGACTCCACAACCTCTCTGGGCAACTTACTTTTAAGAACTTACTTTTAAGGCTAGCCAGAGTCTATCATTCAGCGCTCCAGTGAGCTAGGGAGCTGCAGCGACCGCCTGTCAGCCCTCACAAACGAGGCTCCTGTTGATGGGTCCCAGGAGAACTTACTCAGATGCACTGATTCTTTTCAACTCCCATCATATAGAAATAAGAATTTTTTTTAACTGAAAAGCAAGCTGGGCAAGATAGGGTTGTGTTGGACGTAAGGTAACTTAGTGTGCTTTTGGCTGCTCTGGAGGCCCTGTTAAACCAGGAGCCCTAGGTTACAACCCATGCGTAGCACAGAGCAGTAACATCGCACACTGTTCTGCCAGAATTTGGAATTTTGCCCTGAAGAAATACAGGAATCAGATGACAACTTCAGACATGTCTCTGCAGCTGTAGACAGAGTGGTGAGTTCATGAGGTCTGCGCTTCCCCTGCGAATATGATGATTAATTTGGGGGCAAAAAAGTCCTGTAAAAGTTACAGCCCTGAATAACTAAGTAATCCGACTTTCCCCCTTAGGTGTATGGGGCTACAACAGGACCTCCCACAGATAGTGATCATCCTAAGGAGAAGAGGGAAGGGAGAACTGAAGAAGAATTGGGTTCTGATTCATCCAGCACAGCTGACAGTAAAATTGGCTTTTCAATGAATGACAGTTCTACGCTTAGCAAGGGCTTGTTGGTAGACAGTAGAGACTATTCTAACAGAAACCTCCAGAATGTGAGCACAGACCTGGCTGGTTTGCCAGAGGATGACAGAAGAAGAGGGGCTCAAGATATTTTAGGATCTCATTTTCCAGCTGTTGAAACTGGCAAGCAAAAATCAAGCTATGGACTCCCACGAGATGCCCCCCAGGGCCCAGGTGAGCCCCTGCAGGGCGCGGGCAAGCGCGTCCCCATCAGCAGTGTTGCCCCTCTCATGAGGCAAACGCTGGAGGCCGCGGCGCCTCCTGGCTCCTCACAGGAGCAAGAGCCACTCCCAGGCAATTACAACCAGGTCATGCCAAGACCTAAGGTGTCTAGGGGTAACTACGTGGAAGAGACAGACTCTCCTGCCAGCTCTCCAAGTGAAGACAGCCCACCCACAGAAAACATTGCCTTCATGATTACCAAAACTGCTGTCCAGGTCCTCTCAAGTGGAGAAGTTCATGATATAGTCAGCCGGAAGGGAGGAGATGTGCAAACGGTGAACATTGATGCGAGAAAGGACACGGCACTGGAGAAGGGTCTCCCAGAAAACACGGACAGTGAAGAACCAGTAGTATGTCTGGACAAAAAACCGGTCATCATCATTTTTGATGAACCAATGGATATTAGGTCAGCATATAAACGTCTTTCTACTATATTTGAGGAGTGTGATGAGGAGTTAGAGAAAATGATGACAGAGGAAAAGATAGAAGAGGAGGAGGAGGAAGAAGAAAATGAAGCACATGAAATTCCTGGGATCCAGAAGGAAGAGCCACTGGTAGTTAATGATGGAAAAGCAATTGCAGCTTATTCAGCAAATCATGGGCTCAGCCAAGAGTATGTATTTAACCTTCAGTCATCTCCTGACTCTGCAGAAACACGAACTCCTGAGGATCAGGAGAACATAAAGACCAGTTTTAACAAATATAGTCAAATTTATGGGCTAAACACAGAAGCAAACTTGGACTCTGCTGATCAGTTTGGAAGCAGGCAGGATTCTAAGAAAAAATTTAAGTTTAAATTCCCTAAAAAGCAGCTGGCTGCTCTGACTCAGGCAATTCGCACAGGCACCAAGACTGGGAAGAAGACCTTACAGGTCGTGGTTTATGAAGAGGAAGAAGAAGATGGCACCCTAAAGCAGCACAAGGAAGCGAAGAGATTTGAAATCACAAGGTCTCAACCCGAGGATGCTGACAGAAGTCCTTCCATCAAGCACGAGTCCCCTCCCCGGCCCACAGCGTCTCTCTCGAGGACGGACGAGATTCGGCAGAGCACGTACCGCACACTGGACAGCCTTGAGCAGACCATAAAGCAGCTGGAGAACACCATCAGCGAAATGAGCCCCAAATCTGTCCCTGAGAGCCCACAGAGCCCTGAGGGAAGCACTGTCCCCTTCTCTGTCCAGATAGCCCCAGAGACCCCAGCTCGAGAGCTTGTAGTGCTGGATGAGAGCCATGCTGGCGCAGAGCCCCCTCCGCCAGTCCCAGCCACGTCACGTAAGGTACCTTAGTCTCCGAAATCACAACTCCAGCTGCTTTCTAAAAATCTGCAATAATCACCATAAACCAGAGGGTCTTGTGATTTGTTTGCTTCCTTTCAGGTGGCTTGTCTGGTCTCCCCACGAGGTGTCTAACAGCTAATGAGCGTTGTTTTTACCTTTGCTGCTGATTGGTGATGGGCAACGCCGGGGAGCTGGGTCAAATAATCCGCTGTGTGAAATGACAAGTGTCACTGACACGGAATCCAGTTTGATCAGTAGTTGAGCAGTTTTCTCCATTTGATTCTTGGCATTAACACCTGTGGTGTGACTCCTGAACTCTTCCCTGCATGTAGTACTATGGCTTTGAAAATTTTATTTATTTATTTATTTACTTTTGCGCATGATGTGTGGCCTCTTCTTCCAAAACCGCAGTATTGATCAGGTGCTTTCCTTGTCTCCCCTCCCTGCCCCTCCAACCCTTCCTGCAGGGCTCAAGCGCTGCCTCGCAGACGAGCAGGATGCCAGTGCCCATGGCTTCGAAAAGTAGGCAAGGAAGCATGGAGAAAGGCAGCAAGCAGCACAAGCTCCAGGATCCACGCCAGTACAGACAGGTAGTTTTACCCTAAATCCACTCTTTGGATGGACATCTAGGGTTGTTGTGTAAAAAAACACCAGTAACTGACTGACATTGTACGAGATAACGGCGGTGTCTCTTTCGAATAAGGTCTAACTGGACGTCCTGGATCCTGGGGGCATGAGAATGTCTAATGATCTTTTCACCATACTTGTGCATGCACGTCTGCAATAAAACACCTGCTCTTTTTGTTTCTTCCCCCTTCACTTCGGTACTCGGCAGTTCTTCTAAGATGTCAACTAGCTGTTTACTTTCCCCTTGGTAAACGCGGCAGTTCCTTAGGACACCGGGGAGCGGTTCTGTTCGGCCGGCCGTTAGCGGAGCCGCGGATACTAACCGGGCGCTGTTCTCCGTGGCATTGGGTGCGCATTAACTCTCCGGCGAGGCGTGTCTGGTCACACATTAACAGCCCCAAGCATGGCCAATGCAGCGAGCGGGCTATAAACCACCCATCATGAGCGGCCACGAAGGCTTCGTTCTGCGCGTGCTCTCGCTCACCCTCTGCGAGCTCCGTTGTGCACGTTGGGTTTTCTGCCAGTCCGCGGCTGCAAGACTTAGGTCTTGAACTGTAAAATCTTATTCGTGATAGGGCTGTTTCCCCAGGTCCTGTTGATGTGTCGTGTTACTGGCTTTCTGACAAACTGTCTCCTGCCGTCTTTATTTGCAGGCTAATGGAAGTGCTAAGAAAGCTGGTGGGGACTATAAGGCTACTTCCCCTACCCTACCTGCTTCTAAGATCCCAGCCTTTTCTCCCACTTCTGGGAAGAGCAACTCCGCACCCGCTTGTAGCGGTGACAGCTCTAACCCTCCTCCTGCACCCACTAAAACCTCCGTTCCTCCCTCTAACCTTCTCGGTCCTCAAACAGGTCGCGTCACCTACTCCACCTCCCTGATCCCCTCTGTGGCTAACGGCTCCTCCAAGTTTCAGAGCGCGGCTTTCCCAGGCAAGGGGCACCACCCCTCCTTCTCGCTGCAGACACAAAATGGCCCCCCGCCCCCCTCTTCCTCCTCTCCCTCCCCCTCCTCTGCTTCCCTCCCTGCGCTGAGCCCGCCCGGGAAGAGCATCCGGACAATCCACACTCCCAGCTTCACCAGCTACAAGGCCCACAACGGGAATGCCGGCAAGTCCACCCCATCCGCGACCAAGGAGCCCGCCTAAAGGCTGAGCACGGCACATGCCCGAGGGCACCAAGGCTTTTGTTTGTTGCTTTTGGTTTTGTTTTTTTTTTTATTATTATTATTATTATTTTTGGTCGTTGGTCCCAACAACCTGCAGCCAATATTTTAACCAGGGAATGTAACAGTTTTGCTGTATTGCTGGAAGCTTAATACTAATCATGTGCTCAATACTGGATTAATACACTAGATTAGAGTGAAGCTTTTTTTTATGTGTAAAACTTGGTTGCTGTTAACGATAACAACGGACCCTTTTCCCCTCTCAGCAGCCCCTCTTCCCAGTGTGTGAGTGAGGCCGTGTGCGGGTGCCCGGCGCGCGGGGAGAAAACTTTAGTAAGCGGTTTTGTACAAAGCTATTTTTCCTTATGGGGACTAGAAGCAAACAGAGATATACTGAAGTGTGATTATACACAACTGTAAAACTGAAACTAAAATATTTTTCTTTTATTTTGGTGTTATTTAGCTTTGTTACAGATTTCTATTTTTGTCAACAAATGTCATGGTTCCTTTCGAGATCTTTTTGCCAAAACATTTTGATACTATGATGCTGTACATTTGGAAGTCAGTGGTATGCTGAGCAGTTTACCTCTACACGCGGAGCAAAGCACGATTGGTCTGGGTGTGTAAGAGGCAACTCAACCTGTTGCACTGCCGTTCAGATTATATTTAAGAATTTGCCAAGCCAAGAAAAAAATAAATTGTTTTACACATGTAGGTAGTTGCTGGTTATTTTTTTTTCTTAGCTAAATCCACCCTTTTCCTTCAGTTTTGTTTTACCTGGTAACCTGTTAATGTATTGTGTTGTGGATTTTAAAATGTACACTTCTGTACTGTTCTGTATACTGGCAAACTTTTGTACATATCTATAAATATATATAAATAAATAAATACTGTATGTGGCTGGGCACATAGAGTAGTTTTACCACACCAAAGTTAATTTTTATGCATGCTTTCAAAATATATATGGGAAACGGTTGGAAAAGATGGATATCAGATAGGAAAAAAGCAACATGTTTGCAGAGGTCATGGTTTTGTAAATAAATTTATTTGTATAACACCCTAATGTAATATACAGAACTATGATAAGCAAAGAACTTTACAAAAATAAAGGGCTGCATGCTTATGTTTTTGCATTTTGTCACCGGTAACTTTTAGAATGGTCTGCAGTAGCACTTAAGGGGTTTGCCTTGGCCATTTAAACCAGCAGAGGAAAATGTGACTTTATTTTCCCCAATTAAAGCTGTACAGAATTAGTGGAATCCAAGTTGCGTTCTACAGCATTTCCCAGAGCTACAGGCTCAGTTTTAATGGCAGGAGGCATTGCCTCTTCCCCCTCTAAACACACGCGCAGGTTTATTCCACACTGGACACCTGAGCGTCTCCAAGCTCTGGTTTCATGGCTGCCCCCTCAGACACTGCTGCAGCTAAAGAACACACCAAGTACCCGGGACCGCAGTGCAGACGATGGCCCTGCTGCAGCAGCCGTGATGCTGCGGTGGCCCAGGTGGGCCGGGACCTCAGTGCTCGTCAGAAAACAAGCAGGCCCTAAAGCAGACCCTAAAGCTGGTCCCTGCTGCCCAGAGCTCTGGGAGATGGGGCAAAAAAGGGGATTTCTGGTGGGATCGGCTCAGGGCCGCCCCTCCATGCACCAGGCACCCAGCTGCAAGGCAGCTCTGCCTGCAAGGAACAGGGCACTAAGGCAGCAAGGTTTTAAAATCTCACATCTGGAGAGCCACTCTGGGGGCTGCAGTCCCATTTTAATCCAGCCCCCTTCCCAGCTACCTATCAAGTTGGACTTCCTTGCACATGCTGGCACAGTCTAGTCACTAGATTTAAAAAACAAAACAAAAAAACACCCTGAACAACTCCCTCTCCACAGCTTCTTATAGCTGATGGGAACCACGTTTCAAAACCCTCTTCCCAAATGGACAAAATGGTGAGAAGGCAGATAAATACAGATGGGAGAAGATTGATTATCAGGGCTGCGAGTGGGGCCAATGAGCCCTTCAGAGCTGGAAGATGCTGCAGGTCTGCAACTAAATCCCTTGAAAAGATTTCCACATTAAACCACTGATCCCCTCTCCCCCAAACTAGGAAATGCCGCTTGCAATTGTTACAGAAATGCAAATGCTATCACTGCCAGGACAGTTTGTCCTTCAATTATTTGCCTATCATCAGCTCCAAGCTTGGTCCTGTTTCTAGTAACTTTCAACTACAGAGCTCCACACACTCTTCAGACAAAAAGTACTTTCCTGCCGCTAGGAAACCTGACAGTGGCTAGCGAAAACGCAATGGGCACAAACAGAAACACAAGAAAATCTATTCAAACATTAAGGGGAAAAAAAAAAACACATTTACTGGGAGAATAGTTGAAAACAAACTGGCTACTCAGAGAGTTTGTGTTACCCTGGGAGATACTCAAACCCCAACTGGAGCGGCTCAAGCAGGGGTTGGACCTGAGGGCCTCCGGCGCCACCCTCCAACCCCAGCCTTTCGGAGCAGCTGCTCCCGGTGCTGCAAGATCCCAGCACCCCCCTTCCAGCGCGGGTCACGACAGTCATTTCCCTTCATTCCTAGATCAGACTGTTCAGAGCCCAGTACAACCAAGTCTTCCTTTCTGCCTGCTCCTGGTGGATCTTTCCACTCACCTAACCCTGTTACACCCTCGAGATTGCTCCCTTCCTTCAGGCTTAAGTGGTTTTTCCTCCTCTCCAGCTCAAGGGCTGCCTTGTACCTTCCTTCCCTCTCACCTCTGCTGGCCCCATCAGTTCCTCCAAGATCCAATTTGCACGCACAGGGAAGCAGCCACCCCTACCTTGCTCCACCACTAATGTCCCTGGCTTCTTCCAGGCTCTTCCTGCCCTCAGTCTGGCTGCTCTGCAGCTCCAGGAGGTACCACCAAAGCTGCCAGTGCCCTTACACTGATACCTTGAGCGTAGTCTGCAACTTATTTATTTCTGTTGTTAAAGATCTTCTCAAAAATATGTATCTTGCATTAAAATATTTATTGTATTCGTGGGACACTTACGCCCTAAGGCATGCTGGCAGCTACGAACCTAGACTCAGGAGCACAGTTAGTCATCATGTGCAAGTGCTGCAAAGTGAAAGGCAACCTGATCTACGTGAGTACCTGGCAAAGCACATGATGAGTGTTCAGGTGCCCAGAATTCAAATGCCTGCAAAGTGAAAGGCAACCTGATCTACCTGAGATCAGAGAATGCAAATGTCCTTCTCTACATCTACTGCTTCATCTAGAAGATCCCTACAACTCACCCCATACACTCACGCTTTAATAGTCCTCTGCAGTTATTAATGGCACAGAACACACCTCCAGGAACAGAAAAAGAAAACTGCTGAACAGCAGCATTACAAAGACTTGCAATAGCATGTGCTGAAATACCTTGTTCAAGTCAGGGATTACACCATGAGGACTGAAGTAAAAATAAGCAGCTGTATGTCTGCCTGCCTTCACATCTGAGTTGCTAATATTCCCTCTCTCTCCTCGTGCATAAAGTAGCACTTTTCTGTGCTCACGATGTTCACTCTCTGCTCATCTCCAGTACACAATCTTCATACCAAGCCAGTGACAGTGAAATCAGAGGCTGACGTTTGTGACAGACACAAATCCCCACAGGTGGATAGCATGAGGAACAATTCTGCTTTGAAGATGTGCAATAAAATAAAATAAATATATCAGAGAGTATGCAGACAGAGTTCATCCTTAGAAGGGTTTTTAGGGTATGAACTCAGCTTCACTGTTAAAACTAAGGCAAACCAAGACCCTTAAGCGCAACTAAAACTGCTTTGACCAGTAGAACTGAAAGGGCTGGGACTGATATTCACACACTGGGGCTTGGGAAAAATTACGGTCACTCTTCTCAGGGCTCCAAATCCAACATATTAAACATAAACCAGTTTGGAATCAGCCAGTACAGCAAACTGGTAATACTTACCAACTGAATCGATCCTACGCAAGTCTTCAGAGTGTGGCCACGTACAACGAAAACCCACTCATAAGAGAAGCCTCGTGCATGACACGGGGCAGACATGGGCAAGAAGCAGCATCTTCATGTTCAGCCACTCAGGGCCTTTGAGCTGCCTCTTTCTTCACAAAATGCCACTCATTTGGGGCAATAACTACATCTTTCTTTCCCTGATGCTGAGTGCAATTGCTGACTGCAACTTGTAAACATGCCATTTTAAAGCCATTTATTAGAATGGAATTCCCATCACGCCAGAGTCACCAAAACAATTTTATTTCCAGTGTTTAAGTGGGTATGCACACAGGCATGATACAGGTTTGGATTCATTAGGTCTTCATGCAGAATTATATTCTCAATAAAAGAAACCAGTTCCATCCAGTATCCACTATCTACACGCCTATGTTACAACATTTATATCAAATCTGGTATCTGAAGAAAAGATACACGTGTAATATGTACATTTAAGTTACTTATTTTACAGAAAGATTAAAAATTCAAGTCACATAAAACTCAAAATCTGTATTAAAATTGGAAATATAAAACTCCGAGATTTACTGGAATGCCTAAGGAATGGAAGCTCTGCAGCCACCTGTGTTAACATTTGTAAAATGTAATGAAACTCATTAACAGTAAAATGCATTCATTTGTTTGTAATAAGTTTCTCTAATTTAACAATATGGCACCCTAACAAACCAAATGAATTTATGATGAGGCACTTGTTAGTGACTAAACCAAAAGAACAATTTTTCTGCATACTAATGCCAGGCCAACTCTCAGTCGTAAACCCATGTATACACTACACAGCATGTTGCATCAGATGCTTCGTTCAACATTTGTATGCAGCCATCAAATATACTTTTTCTTAAAATATATATATATACTTTAACTTTAGTGTTCTTCTGGCTGTGGTAATGCACCGTGAAGACAGTTCCACAGTGCACATCGATGAAACCAGCCCAAATGAAGGCTGCATAACAACAACAGTACAGGAAAATATATATATATATATATATGTACACACACACACATACACACACAGTTACTGGGAAGTGTAACAGTAAGTTAATGAATTGCTGTAGTGGACACATCTCCCCATCTCAAAGGTACTGGTAGAACCGGGATCGAACCACTTGGGTGCCGGACAGTTTGTGAGGATGGGCATCGACGGCGGGGCTGAAGTTGCTCTTGTTCATGTTCAGCCTCCGCGGCGTCGCTGTTGTCCAGCCTGGCCTTGCCGGCCTCGCCCGCGGGAAGGTCAGTGGTGCTAGTGCGGAGGCGCTCCCGCGCCAGCCACTCCGAGATGGACAGGTCTTGGGCCGGGCATTTTGGCTTCAACCGATTCACAGCGGAAAGCTCAGACTCCCTCTCTTTACCTTGACTTGGATCTTGAGCTTTCCAAGCATTCAGGACGCTTATTTCAGCGAAATCCCTCTGTCCTCCCAGTGTGTGCCTTCGCCTGATGTTTTTTCTCTTTGTCGTCTCTGCAGAGTTGGATTTTTGATTCCCAACTCCAAACATATCATCCGCAGATGATTTGAGTCGCAGCTTTAACCTATCTGTAATTTTAAGTCTCCAGGTAGGTTCTTGCTTATCAGCCTCACCCCTGGCTGATGTGGCTAAACTGCTCGTTGATCTTCCTTTCTTCATTATGTCAAACATTCTGGTCACAGCGGGCAAGTCCTTGTCGCTCTTCGCGTCCCCTGACCCCTCGCTGTCCGTTTTGTGCCGCGCAGACTTCCTCCTCGACAGCGTATCGCATTCGATGAGTTTGTGGGAGCTGAAAAGCCTGCGGCTCTCCAGCTTTGGTGTTGAACTCCCCTCAGTACAACTTACTTCGCTCTCTTCCGAGTTCCTCCGACTCGTCTTCACCGCTTCCGAACCCTTCCCCTTGGACAGCCTCTCAGCAGCAGCACTTGCAGCAAAGACAGGGAAATCGTTTTCGCTGTCTGTCTCCACAGGACGCCCCTCACTGATCAACTCACTCCTTTCATCATCAGCATCTTCTCCCTTGCTTTCTGTCACGGACTGCACCTCAGGGCTCAGCATAGTGGCATCTAAGCCAGTCAGATAGATAGTAGATGAAGTAGTTGAATAATCTGAAGTGATGGAACTGACATCAGCTGCTAAAAACTCGTGTTTAATTTCAGGGCTGGCTACTTTTTTGCAAGAGTATCTGTGCTGGGAAGCCTGGGAAGAAGTACTGAGCATAGTGCCAGAGTCAGACACTGTCTCCTCGACCTGGGAAGACGACTGTGAGCCAGGCAGCTTGGGGTTGCTCCTCTGCACGGTTTGCCCACAGCCGAGATCCGGCGATTTGGGGTGTTTTTCATGGTAAGGCAGTGAAGGCTCCTGTGCCAGGATACTTTCCTTCTTCAACAACTTCTTTTCATCCTTCACAACATTCACATCTTTTTTACTGCTGTTCTCTTTTTCCTTCAGGATAAACATCCTCTGTTTTCTCCCCGTGTCTCTCTCTCTCTCATATTCCCCTTTAGCTGTGTCCTCTTTTGCTGCATCACCACGGGACTGCTCTGCAAGCTCTTTCTTGAAAAACACATTATCCAACTCATCTTCTGAGCTGCTTGGTTGTGGTTTCTCTTTTGTTTTTTTCCGCTTGCGGCTAGCTGCTGCAAAAATGGAGGACACGAGCAGTTCCTTGCTATACTGATCCTTTCCAGAACCCCAAGAACCCTGTTTCAAAAAAGAAGAATAATGACTGGTTAGAAAATGCAAAAACACATGCATTAGTCTGAGACTTTTTAAATACATATTCAGAGAAGGATGCCTTTATTCAGGAAATATTGTCTTACTAATCAATCTGTATCCTGTGACTTCTACTATTCACCTGAGCTGAGTCCCTCCGAGGTGACAAAAACTTTCTTTTTTACATGGAGATACTTGGGTTTTGACTGGTTAACAGGGCAGACTCTTTTAAGGCAAGACCTTTTCAAGGTCAGTTTGCAATGGCAACTGCTGGACAGATGAGGAGCGCAGCTTTGGTACCTCCTCTTGCCTGGGTGAAAAAGACTAACATCTCCAAGCATTTTTTTTTGCTGTTTTTCATCTTTCAGGTTATCCAAGTTTGAACACCATACACACTAAACATCATCAACACAAAGCTATACAAATCCCCAATTTAGCTACAATTGCAAAAAAAAAAAAAAAAAAAAAAAGAAAAAACAAAAAAATCCTCACCAGCAAGAAGAAGTAGTAGTCTGCACTCAGAACACAGAAGCAAAAAATGGCCCAATTATTCCCAATTATTTTGTAAACTTCACTAAAAACACTCTCCCTACACTGACAACACGTGCGTGGCCACCTCAAAGCCACATGCTTCCCTGCTCCCTGCACCTTTGCTATTATTTTTCAAAAACGGGAGGGCTGTGGCGGGACCCACCCGCTCACCAGGGCATTCTGCACATTGCAGACATTCAAGGAACGAGCACAGCAAGGCTATGCACAGAAGGGGTAGGTGCTTACAGAAGAGCCCTTTGGCACAGCAGGACTGACATCTTCCTTAGCTTCTAGGGATCAACAGCAGCAGCTGAGGTTTCAGCTAACCCAGCTACATCTCTGACCTGAGGAAAGGAAGAGCCAGACCAGCAGCCAAGCGGTTACGCTCAAAAACCCTGGGAATCCCAGTCATTTGCTACTGTGCAGCACTGCAGAGGATTGCCATCAAATGGCACGTGGTCACTGAAAGGACCATGTACTGATTGGGCACCTTGTCAGAGAACAAGCTTAAAGATAAAGGGAACGATCATTCACTCTAATCATCATTATTTGGTTCCTGTCCAGCAAAATGCTGCCACAATCCATGAATACAGAATCCCAGCCCCACACAACACTGAACTCCTGCTGTTGGGGTGCCTATTACTAACAACTTCTAAGTGCACATTTCTTTCTGAATTGATAGCTCCTCACAAATTCGTTTTTAAAGGTCTTGGAAATGGTCAAAATTGCCAGGATTGGCAATTTAACCCTGGCAGGGTTAAACAGGAGGAAAATAATACAAAAAGAAAGATGGGCAAACTCGGGAGAGTTTTTCCCGGGAAGGGGAACACGAAGGATCGAATCCTTCCTGCCAGAAGGGATATGCAGCAATGCAGCCAGCTGGGAGTCCCTCGGGGCCTTGTGTTGCTGCAGGGGATCCCCGCTGGGCAGGACAGAGGCTGCTGCCCGGGGACCTGCCTGCCCCTGCTCTGCCACGTGCAGCTGCGTGAGCATGGCCAAGGGCACCGAGATCTGCCCGATGGCCACGTGAGAAACCTGCCCTTACACAGAATCACAGAATGCTGAAGGTCGGAAGGGACCTCTAGAGATCATCCGGTCTAACCCCCCTGCACACGCAGGGTCACCTAGAGCACGTGGCGCAGGGCTGCGTCCAGGCAGGTTTTGAAGATCTCCTGGACATCAGGGACTGAACCATCGCCCGAAGTTCCAGTCTTACTCCCTGCCTAGGAGGTTATTCCACCAAGCCCAGGAAGACTTTCTAAGGAGATTTAGCATGGTAGTCTTCAATCACACTCTTTACCTTCCTGTAAGAGGAGGAACTATCACCTTCTGAAGGAGAAAACGCTAAACTACATAGACTTTATCCAGTGAAATACATAAATACTGCCCAGCATGTCCAAAATAGAGAGGAACAAACTATATCCATTCTCCTCTGCTGCATGAGATTCAAGGAGGAGATGGAGGGTTCGTAGTTAGAGGGGTCTGGCTCATGGTTGCTGCTACGTCTGCAGCTGACTGCCCTGGAAGAGGCAACAAACTGCAACCTAGTGAGAATCTTCCAGCATGGCGCTTCAACATTAGTCCATGAGAAAACAGTATTTCCTCTTCTTTAAAATAATTCTGTGCAGCCCTACTCAACACCTACATATAAGCAATTAGTTTAATCAAGCCAGTAAATACCCAACAGATTTCAAAGGTTTATATAAACATAGAAAGGTTTATAACTATATAAATTCACAAGAACACTTACCTTAGATTTTGCTGAGTCACTAGTAGCTGAATCTGTGGAAAAAAAAAATCCACTTAGTTCTGTGCAAAGTTTTATTTTATTTATTTATTTATTTTTTTGCTACAAACAATGCTGGACTTATGGAAAAAGACAAGCACAGAACAAAATGTGAAGCAAATAAAACCAGAACAGAGTGGATAGTCAGAGCTCACAAAGATGCAAGCTGCACCACAGAAAGCCACCGCCATGAAAGGATGCTGTGAATTGTAGGCAGAACCAGCTCAATGATAGGAATGGCAAAGGAGCCCTGTTCTTCTAAATAAAAAACAAAACAGAAATACTATTGTTTATTCAATGTTTTAGGAATACAGCCCCTGCAAAACCGCAGCTGAGAGACCTTTTCAGGATTGTACTGCGTACTCTCCTGAGACTCAGGATACACAAAGCAAAATTGAATGTCTTGGTACTGTTGGCTGCCCTAAGTACAAATCACGGTTCTTGCAGTTAATATTCTTTTTGTGACACTTCAGAAATTTGAATTCAGTTATATTTGGTGTGCTAAACCCCAATTTTACATCTCTCTTCACCTCTGTCTATGCATAGGTAAAATTTTATTTTCAAAATGGCTAGATTTCAGCAGCTACCAGTTTTGTACTTTTCCATAACAAGCGCTATTATGAAATGAAAAATGGACACCATAGTTTCACTGTCTCGCAAAACCCAAGATTATACAGTTAGAAAGGGGGTAGGAAGGGGCTAGCGCAGTGACTAGAAAATGTGAACTTGGATGTTTTCCACCTCTAGGGACATTCTCCCTAGGAAGAACGAGCCGAGCCCCCTGCCACACCCCTTTGGACACATGGCCAATGCTTTATGACTAGAAAGACTGGTAGACCATACCATGCTATTTCTCCTCAGGGTCTGCTTCAGAGATAACAAGAAACAGCAGAAAAACTTTTAAAAAGTAGCATTGATCTGTTTAAAATACTCTTAAAAGAAAATTTACAGCACAGATCAACTTTTTTTTTTCTTTCCATTTACAAGAAACGGGGGTTTCTGCAGACAAGGCAGCTACAGTGTGGGCAACAGTCCTCCTTCTTCCTACAGTTCCAGCTGTCCACCAGTGACATCACAGAATCCACTAGTGACATCACCGTGTGATAGACTCCTCCCACTTCGCCTGTGGCAACATCAGCATAGAGTGACTGTTTCAGTAAGTGCTGAACAACCCTCGGAAAACTGAAACAAAAGCTGGAGACGGAGGGGTAACATTTGTGGGATATAACATGCTCGGTTAGTGCAAGAATACAGTGAAGGGAAGGGGGGGAAAAGTCACCAAAAAAGAGCCTGCAGCGCTTGTCCTTAGCCACACAAGAGGATGGCAGTCATAAACAGAAGGAAATCAGCTTTAGTATAGACATACTGCAATTTATTTATTAAAGTGTCCACCACTTGACAAGAAAACATAACTATTTGTTATTTTTTGTTGTTGCATTCCTAACACTGGGAAGGAGCAATATTAGAACACCGAAGATCAATCTTTCTGCCATCACAACAAACCACTTTGCAGCAGCATTTCTGCTTCACCTCACGATGATGATTGGATGGGTTACTGTGAATAAATAAAATAGTATGTGCGAGCTTCATCTTTCAATGATTATACTCCTGCTAGACGACAAAGTTTTCCAGTTTATATCATGCAAGATTATCAACATTTCAAGTTTTTACAGTGTATTAATGATCTTTTTAGAAAAGAGAGTTTTTACAGTGTATTAATGATCTTTTAGAAAAAAGCAATTTATTAGTAAAAGAAAATAGAAAGTTACAGTGAGTTGAGTAGGCTATTCTAGCCTATGGACTAACACTGTCCAGGCAAGAGTTACCTGATACGTCTCCAGGAGAAACTCCCGTCCTTCCAATGTTGGTGAGTAAATGATCTATGTTTGGCACTGGCTGAGATTCTACAGTGTTTTCCTCCTGAACTGCTGTCTATAGTTAATAAACAAAGATCTCTTCGTCATCGTTTCATAAATAGCTCATTATGATTTAACAGCATTTAGAAAATTGCATTATTCACCTGAGGACATTTTCCTTGTGAGTTCTAGTTTTCCCACATTGCTTTACATTTTAAAAACAAATACATGTCCTTCTAAAAAATTCATTACTGTAAGGAATGGAGAGGTAAAAAGGTGCTCTGAAGAGTAAACCATACAATGATATAAGAAGAAATAAAAAAAATTCTAGAAAGAGCAGAAGCAGATTCTAAGCTAACATAATTTTAAATCGCAGATATTTATGCCACAATACTTACAAGAGGTTCTTCAGCATCGTCTTCTGTGAAAAACCAGTCATGCTACAATTTAAAATAAAAAAGGTGAAAACCCCACAGGAAACGCAAAACCCAAAGGGGGAACAAACAAACATGGACATCAGTAAAAATGATAAGCTTGAATTCCAAGGACAAATACCAGAGCCAAATTGGCTCAGTGAGAGAAAGCTGGTCTGTCTGCATATGATCTTACTTTTTAAATAATGAAATGCATCCACTTACTTTTTGAATGAGTGTTTCTACAATTTTGTATTGGTCTGGCATGTGCGTAACCATGTGTGTCATGTTATCATCAGACGTCCTCACGAGTGTTGGACCAAAAACTATTGCCAAGTTTCTTGGCTCCATCTAAGAAATGAAAAATTTCCACATCACCCATTTACAATAGGAGAGTGCAATATGTTAATATAATAGCATTACATTTGAGAATCATTTTAAACAAGGATAAAGAAAAGATTTTTTAAAAAGCACTACAAATTAGGTAGGATGTTACACTACCTTACAACTCTTCTATACACAGCTGAACTAAAAGCATGCAACTTTTCTACAGTTCAAAATTAAACATCGTAAGGAAAGACATGGCAAGCACAGAAAAGTCTAGACTAAAGCACTCGCACACATTCTGCATACTTTTGAGTGGGAGGTTTTTTTTTTTTTTTTTTTTTTGATCTTTGATGTAGGGACTCTATTTCTGTTTCATTTAGAAACACTGATGTTTTAAGACACTTCAAAAAAAGGCACTGGAAGTTTCCCAGGTTTTAATCTGAAAATGTTTACATGACACACGAAAAAACTGACCTACTAATCAGACACTATTTTGTCTAGCGACAAAGAGCTCATTCAGCTCACGTTTACTTTGGAGGAGGCGGCAGCAACCAACATCACAGACGCTACAAATCTATTCACAAGATAGACTCGGAGTTATCCAGCCCCGTCAGCCACATTAATCATCCACTTTGTTTATTTTTTAAACTACATCTCTGTCAATTTTCAAGAAGAAAGCGGCAAAACACTTTTATCTTCTACTTCTGCTTACTTATTTGACTAACAGTTTACTCTTCCTGTTGTGACATGGAATAGAGCAGTAATCAACAGGAGGTAACAGCCTCATTCTTATTAGAACAACACTGCAAGCAGAAAGACTCCAGTCCTAACCCTGGACTGTGGACTTGGACTACTCATCCAATTAAAATATAACTTAATTCATCTGTTCTTACATATTCTACACTATTAATGCTATTTAAACAATATTGATACAGTACACTGAATATCTAAAATGTTAAAGGCTTGCTTTAGATGTCGCACTTAAAATAGCATATATTATCATTACATTATAATGTGGACTATAATTACACTCAAAATGTGATCTAAATAAAATTTTAAATAATAAATAAAATTTAAATGTATTAACTAAAGGGTATTATTTGTACAACTGATGTAGGTACCCACCGCATTTATCTGAATAAAGGCATTTTCTCATCTTTTGGATGATTTAAGTCTTAAAGTTTGCTATAACCTCATCCAAGTTTTCAATAGCATCAATCACATCAACTTTCACCTGTATCATTACATATTTATAACCACACCGATACCATGTAGCTTTGAGTACACCTTTGAGTACACCTACCCAACTATGAAAAAGATAGTATCATTATTCGCATTCAAGGTAAATTAACAGCATGCAAGAAAGCAGTTAATGCAGATTAACTCAGACTCTTTCCTCAGCTTATAGAAATGACAAGAGGTTATCCTCAGTTGTGTTAATTAACAGATCATTACCCTTTACACCATTATTATCTCTCTTTAAGAGATCAGCATTTACCAGGTTATTAAATATTTAAGTAATTACAGCAAGTGCTAGTCTTAAAAAAAAAAAAAAAAAAAAAAAAAAACAAAAAAACCCAAAAACCCCCAAGGCCCACGA